AAATATCACTATTTCGCAAGAATTTAATAATTCAACTTTGTTTTTGTCACATGATATGCATGGAGGATTTTATTGGTAGATATATTAAAAAAAATTTTTGACCCAGCCGGGATATGAAAACCGAAAATATAAGTTTGTACGGCCTTATTTTTAGATTTTTTTTTAGTAGATAAGATAATAATTGATCGATTATATATACTCGAGCTTATAAATTATATGCTTGATCGATCATATTCAATCAAGTTTTTATAATTGATTTTTGATCGATCAAGCAAACTTTTTTTTGGTCAATCATCGAGCAATGATTTTTTTTCGAGTCAATTCACTAGATCTACAAAGGCCGAATGACTTGCAAATTTGATCAGAATTTAGATTGCTTGAAAAGTAAGATTGCTTGATTTTGCTACACAATATCCTGATAATTCTATTGGCTCCGATGTATGAATTTTGAGACCGAAAGTGATCTTCAGCCCGGAAGTTGTCAATCGTCATAGATTTCTTCAATCGTCATAGATTTCTTCAATCGTCACAGATTTTGTCAATCGTCAATTCATCATTTAGAAATTGGCCTGACGAATGGATTTGTCATTCGTCAATGACGAAGGATTCATTTTCAGGCATCATTAACTGCAGATAGGATATATTAACAAGGCATTGCTGTGACATGATCATATAAGATCGCAAGATACCCAATATTTATTTTTTTTATGATACGATCAAAGCATAAAACGATTAAAAGCACTAACGTAGAAAAATTACATTAAAAATTGACCACACAGTTTTGGTGTCATATTAAGGGATCCCTTTTTTCATAATTTGGATCTAAATCAAATTTCTAGAGATTACGATTATCGCACATCGCCCACAAAAAAAAAACTCAGAAACAATAACGAAAACTGTTGTAGCAATAAAAAATTACAATGCCATGCATAATTTATCATCTTTTGCTTCAGAGCTCTAACTATGATGTAACTACATTCGCGGTCGATACTAGGGCTGTTGCTCATGAATAAATTTGTCTATATTGAGCTTATTGTCTTCGATATATTTAGTAATTAGGCTGATCAGAATCAAGATAGGACGTCCCAAATATGAAAATGATATCCAGTTCTTACGCAATTAAAATTTAAACTTTCTATTAAAATTGAGTAAATTTAGCCGATGAATTGATGCATTCACTTCGCTTTATCACATATCTGTTTAATCCTTTTTTACGCAATCTGATTTGCCAATGATAATATTATTAAGGAAAAAAAAAACCATTAAGGAAAAAAAACCATTAAATAAAAACAGGATTTTTAATTTTGAATCACCCTATTGATTTAATTTCGATGACGTATGGTTAGATGCATCAAAATAAAGTGTTCATTATCAATAAATGCATGTTTGTGACTAAAAATCGACAAACTACGCAAAATCCTAATAGGGAGTTCGAAACCCTCCGCGACTCTCCGTAAGATAGTAGATGAAGAAGGTGAAAAAAAGACTGACTGAACATATAGAAGTCTTGGGGGATTAGTAAAAAAAAAAAAAAAAAGAATTTACTTATAGTTACCTAAACTAGCTCAACCTATAATTTAATTTAAATGAGTTAAGCATCTAAATTCTTACAATTAATGCCGAGAGATCGATACCAAGACTAAATTTCCCTAAATACTACTTGTATAGACCAAACTCTTGATTGCATGTATTTAGAGAACAATAAAATTACTTGTGCTCGAGTATGAACTTAAGTTTTAGACCTGTGGGTCGATAACGTAATGGATTCGCTTCCAGGTCACAATCGCAAGAACGCCGATTCAAATCATACCGGAGATGCTAGGATCACGCCTAAGGATTAACCACAAAAACCATCAAGGATACACATCAAGACCATTCCAGGAAAGATCTCCAGTGAATTCTGGTTGAAATTAGGATTCTTCCAGATATTGCTGGTGAAAATATCCGGTCGCAAACACTTAGGTAACACAAATAAAATAAATAATTCATGTAAATTCTTGAATGTAGGGAACTTTACAAATTTTGATGGCCTTGTTAATTAAATGAGTTGATAAATAAATTATACGCCATATGGCGTCCTGCAGCAATCATGCCGGCAGGTGTTAAATAATAAATAAATAAATAAATAAATAAAATTTTGCATTGCAGCATACATAAATGAGATTTATATTTTCAATTTCAATTCTAAACTTTAAAATTTGATTTTTTTTTTCTCATCATTTGAATTTAGCAGATATTCACGCTCAGATGACCGCCTTGTTTCTTTATAATATCAATTTTGATTAATCCTCACCTTAATATTAATTAAATTATAATTTTTCAAAAACTCGCATCTCCAACTTCCTTAATTGAAATTATAAGACTATTCCTGGACTAATGCATAATATCATGCAATCTCTCAATTAATAAACTGTGACTTTTAAACGGTCAAAGAAACGTTCACAAATTGAAATGTTATTTCGTTAATAGTAGCACTACATAACTTTCGTTAATAGTAACGCTACATAACTTAACATAATCTTAACATAATCTTAACATAATCTAGAGCAACATAGAATTATAAATAATCGCGCCTTACATATTTATAGAAAGTTATATTTATGTATTCTATCTTATAAACCAAAATTTTGTTTAATCTTCACATGGAATATGCAAAAAAAAAGTAAGTATTTCACATAAGCATTTAAAGTTTAATGAAATCAATTATCAAAATAATCTTTTATTAGAAACGATTTTTTTTAAACCAGGTTTCATGACTATGTTTAAAACATTACCGTTAAGATACAAAAAACAAAAATGCAAATGTACGTAATACTTTAGTTAAACACTGGGCAGCATGAGTATAAACAGAAGTGAAATTTCCGCTTAAGTACATAGACCCAGTTTATAATAGATTTTATGCCCTGCGATCTTTTGATATAACATGATAAAGTATAATACTGGCATTATACTGAATGTTTTTATTACACCGGTATAACCGCAACCCTACTTAAACCGAGTGTTTAATAATTTGATGTGGTTATTACAAATATTTCATTGGGATCCTGTTCTTGAAACTACCCGACATTTTACATAATTTCAGCCATGCCTATAGGCACGAAGATCATTCTTTAGTTCATTGCATGCTCAGTTCAGAGATTCCCCTGTAGGTATTCCTAATTTTTAACCGCACCTCAAAGCTAAGATATTTTAAAACCGGTAACACATTTAAAAATATTATCTGCACCTATAAAATATGGTAATTTTTCAATTAAATTAGAATTTTATTTTATACAACCTACTTCCTAATTCGAATTATAATAAATCTAGTTTTTTTTTCGATGTTAGTTAGTATTACAAAAGTAATGGTCATTGATTGAATTGTCATTATTTAAAATGATGCAATTTGTATAAAAAAAAGTAATGCCCATTTAGTTTTCTTGAATTGGAATTATAATATGGGCTAGTACACAGCAAAAAGGTGCTTTGAGACAAATTTTATATTTAGAGATATTAATATTTAATCATTTTATGCAATATTCAGTAATTGTTATAAAATTAAAAATTTATGCATAACATATAACCAAAATTCTCGATAATTAAATTAAACAGTACTATATATAACATTAGTAAGGTTCGATACCCAATATCTTTACCCCTCATTAATTCCACTTACCGTAAATTCTCAAAATAGCGGCATGGGAAAATCGCGCTCTCTAAAAATAGCATATGTAGTTTCGAAATAACGCTCATGCGCGTCCTGAAATAACGCGCACTCCACTCTTCTGCATCTTTAAAAAAACCGGGTACAGATCCAATTCTGATTACCAAAAAGCCCGGTCCCTGACCGGTCCGATCAGTTCTTTGTAGATTTCTATTCAGAAAATCATCTACTAACGCCCATAGCGTGCAGAGATTCACAATAGTGAATAGATGCCTGTATCTAAATATTTAACAGAGAAATTGTTTTGACAAAAATACTGCGTACCAAAATTATACAAAATTTTATTATGCTAATATAGAACTGCGTACAAGATTATACAAAATTTATTACACTAATACGGATTAAAAGGTTTACAGTAAACTAGCCAATATCAGATACAAGCGTGATTCGATCAGGCACTTAAAAAAATATAGTAGTACGAATCATGCATTAACTGTAAGCCACAAGTTTTTTTTTCCGTTACCCAATTAAGTTTTTTTGTTGTTACATTCTTCCAATTCCCTTTTTTGAATAATTTTACCAAAAAAAACTAAAATAGTGTCAAGTTCTAAAATTAGTTCAGAAATGTAAACGATAAAAACGTTAGTCTTCAAAGAAAACTTCCGAAAATAAAGCACAGAATGGACTTAACATATTAGAAATAAATTTAAATAATTCCTTTGTTTAGTTATATGAATAATGCAATTGACCGATATTTCTCTTGAAATAACTTTCTTCGTGCATAGGATTCACAACTATATTGTTCTTTGAAGATTTAATATTTTCGGATTTACGTTTAATATTTTCGGGCTTTCCAAGAGATTCTTTGATTAAGGTTTCTATTTATGATCGTATAAGCACCATTATTCATTGCTGGTCCCACCGAGTCCATGATTCTGCTTTTCGCTCGGGGAATCTATGATTCGCTTTTGGAATTTTAATTTTACCCAATAATACAATATATAGAGAATTTTTTTTATATAAACAGGAGCTTTCTCGTTGAATTTTTTTCCTCATCAATTTAGTTTGATACTTTCCTTACCTGTTTATTTTGATATTTCCTACAAATTTTTTTTTGATATAAATCAACTTCACCAGAGGTTTTTTTTAAAAAATGTCAAAAATTCAATATTTCGTTCTTGCATTAATCTTCCTCTTTGTTATGATCAATGAATCAACCGGAGGAATTATTCCTCAAAGCGATGTTAGTCCTGTTAGTCCTTTGCTTAAACGTGGCAAGAAAGATGAAATATGTTACGACTACATCGCTGCAATTGCAACATTTGATCAAGAAGATCTGACCGGTGTTGTTACCTTGGTCGGAGACGATTCTAAACCAGAAACCTTTGTCTATGGTCTTTTCTCAAAAGGCATAAAAAATGCCAATAAATTTAATCTTTTAATCAAATGTGATGACAAGGTTGCCTATAATTTGACTGATGACTTAGATTTTAAATCTGACGGCAAAGATGGTACTAAACCGTTTTGCGCATATATTCATTTTGACCTTTTAAAATTTTTATCAGAAGATGGTTGTGGTAAACCTAATAGATGTGATGATTGTGATGACTATAAGCATGGTGATAAGCATGATTATAAGCATGGTGATAAGCATGATGATGATAACGATGATAAGCATGGTGATAAGCATGGTGATAAGCATGGTGATAAGCATGGTTATAAACGTTATGTCAAACGACAAGGAGCTGGTCCAAATGTCGGTGCTACCCCGCCTTCGGCCAGCGCACCGATCAATCAAGCAAAACCTTAGTGAAGAGCTTATTTTCTTAGAATTAGCACTTTGATCGGATGATTCCTTTTTTTTGATAAAATTTGTTTGTACCTGTTAATATCAGCCTGATATCTTCTTCAAGGGTTGATAATTATACCAGGAACGGAGTGATGCAATCACGAAGTGTATGGTTTATACACTGTCTGGAGTGGGATTTGTCCGCAAAATCTTAAGTTTGATTGGTCTGCATGACTTATTCGTCAAATTTTGGTTATTTTTCACGCATGAATGCATCACGC